TTGATTCTTGAGGAAGCCCATAATTTGCAATATTCTATTCATCCGGATACCGCCAAGAGGTATCAGGATTTGAGGCAACATTATTGGTGGAGAATAATGAAGAAATATATAGTTGAGTATGTGGCTCGGTATTTGAATTGCCAGCAGGTGAAGTACGAGCATCAGAGACATGGCGGTTTGCTTTAGATACTTGAGATTCCCGAGTGGATGTGGAAGCGTATTACCATAGATTTCTTTGTTGGGCTCCCATGGACTTTGAAGAAATTTGACACATTATGGATCATTGTGGATAGGTTGACCAAGTCGGCGCATTTCATTCCGGTGGCAGCTACCTATTCTTCAGAGCGGCTGGCTGAGATCTATATCCGCGAGATTGATTGTCTTCATGGTTTGTCGGTGTCCATTATTTCTGATCGGGCTACGCAATTCACATCTTATTTCTGGAGGGCTGTACAACGCGAGTTAGGCACACGGGTTGAGTTGAGTAAAACATTTCACCCCCAGACATACGGGCAGTTCGAGCACACCATTCAGATATAGGAGGATATGCTTCGCGCCTGTGTTATGGATTTTGGGGGCTCTTGGGATCAGTTCTTGTCGCTTGCGGAGTTTGCCTACAACAACAGCTTCCAATCGAGTATTTAGATAGCTCCTTATGAGGCCTTATATGTGAGGCGGTGTCGTTCTCTAGTTGGTTGGTTTGAGCCGGGAGAGGCTCGGTTGTTAGGTACTGATTTGGTTCACGATGCCTTGGAAAAGGTCAATATGATTTAGGATCGGCTTCGTACAACACAGTCTAGGCATAAGAGTTATGCCGATTGGAGAGTTCGTGATGTTGCGTTCATGGTTGGAGAGAGGGTTTTGCTCTGGGTTTCGCCCATGAAGGGTGTGATGAGGTTCGGGAAGAAGGGCAAGTTGAGCCCTAGGTATATCGGACCCTTTGAGATCCTTGAGAGAGTTGGTGAGGTGGCCTACAAGCTTGCATTGCCACATAGCTTACCAGCAGTTCACCCGGTGTTCCATGTTTTCATGCTCCGAAAGTATCGCGGTGATCCGTCTCATGTATTAGATTTCAGCTCAGTCCAATTGGACAAGGATTTGACTTACGAGGAGGAGCCGGTGGCCATTCTAGCACGGCAGGTCCGGAAGTTGAGGTCTAAGAGTTACTTTTCTGTTAGAGTGTAGTGGAGAGGTCAGCCAATCGAGGCAGCTACGTGGGAGTCCGAGTCCGATATGCGGAGTAGATATTCACACGTTTTCATCAGTCCAGGTACCTTTCTATGTCCGTCGAGGACGAACGTTTGTTTTAGAGGTGGAGAATGTGATGACCCGATAGGTCATTTTGAGTTCTAGCCCTTATTTTCGTGTTTCTAGATCTCGATTAGCTCCGTTTAGTGTTTCTCAATTTACGTGCGCAGTCCGTGTCTTTTTTCGAAATACTTTTATGTGAAAATTTGAAGAAAATATAATTTTTAGCTTTAAAAATGACTTGAGTTGACTACGGTCAATATTTTGTGTAAACGACCCCGAGTCAATAGTTTGACGATCCCGGTGGGTCCATATCGCTATTTTGGACTTGGGCGTATGCCCAGAATTAAATTTGGAAGTCCTTAACTTAATTTGACGTGATTTGTTGAAAACTAGTAACTTGAAGGTTTAAAGAATTCCTAGGTTTGAACGTAGATTGACTTTATTACTAGGGTTTGGATTTTGGTTCCAGAACTTGGCATATGTTCATTTTACTATATAAAACTTCTCTGCAAAATTTTGTGCAAAATGGAGTTGATTTGATAGGATACGGACGCTCGGTTGTGAATTTGGAAGTTCTTGAGTTTCTTTGAAAATTTCATGCATTTTAATGTTTGATTCTTAGTTCTAGGTATTATTTTGGTGTTTTGATCGCGCGAGCGAGTTCTTATAATGTTATTACACTTGTGCGCATGTTTGGTTTGGAGTCCGAGAGGCCCGGGTGAGTTCTGAATAGGCTACAGACTATTTGAACTTGGAAAGAATTACTGGTTTTGCTGCTGGTGATATCTGGTGTCATGTGCTTTACGATCGCGAAGGGGAATCTGGGCTAGGGAGGAGTTTCTTCTTCGCGAATGTGAAATAGTGGGGGGCTTACCCTTTGCGAATGCGTCCTCTATCTCGTGAGCGCGTAGGGTTATGGGGTCCTGAGAGGGAGCCTGTCAGTTACTCTTCGCGAACGCGAGGATCTGGTCACGAACGCGAAGTAGTGGGGGGCTTGCCCTTCGCGAATACGTCCTCTCTCTCGCGAATGCGTAGGGTTATGGGGTCCTGAGAGGGAGCCTGTCAGTTACTCTTCGCGAACGCGTTCATTGGTTCGCGAAGGCAGGGGGAGTAAGCCTTCGCAAACGCGAAGAGTGGCTCGCAAACGCGTAGGCCTTTGGCCGCTGCTGCTTCGCGATCGTGTCAGGTCCTTCGCGAACTCGAAGAAGACCTAACGCCAATGATTTAAAACAATCCAAAAATCGGGATTCTTCCCATTTCGCACCATTTTCAAGATTGAGTATGGCCTAGAGGTGATTTTGAAGAGGTATTTCATCCCAACTTCATAGGTCAGTAGATTTCAACTTGTTTCCTTACATTTTCATAAACACCCATTTATGTTTAACCTTTAATCTATGCCTTTTCATGGTAGAAATTAGGGATTTAGGTAGAAATTGAGATTTAGATCTCAAATTGAGGTCGGATTTCAAAACTAATCACCTACTCGGGCTCGAGGGTGAACGGGTAATTGAGTTTTGGTCCGAATCTCGGGTTTGACCAAGCGAGCCCGGGGTTCACTTTTGTTGAATTTTTCAAAATCATTATAGATTGAATCTTTTTCACTCGTGGGTCGTTTCTAAAGCTTATTTTGAATTAGTTGAACTATATTTGGTTAGATTTGATTGGTTTGGAGGCTGATTCTAGAGGAAAAATTGCAGTTGAGCATTGATTTAGTTGCGGAGTGAGGTAAGTATCATGGTTAACCTTGACTTGAGGGATTGAGACTTGTTGGTCTATTTGCTACGTGTTTTATATGTGGGGACAACGAATATGTGAGGTGACAAGTAACTATGGGTTGTCATTGGATTAAAGCATGCAGGTGGAAATTATTTCTTTGTGTTATATTATTTCGTTAATTATGTTATCCATGTTTATGTTAGATTATTACTTCTTTTAATTATTCGTTTCGTATTAATTATTTATTTTAAAGATGTTGAATATTTTGAAAATTGAAGTTTGATATCATGGCACCATATTTGAAGTGAAATTATTCCCACCTTGTTTTTATTATTCGGATTCATATTATTGCTTGGTGAGAAAGAAAGAAAAGTACGAAGGGTGTTGCACTTGCCGTGCCTTATTTGCATTTATTATCATATATTGAGAGATTTGAGAGTAAAACCACGAAGGGTGATGCCGTGCCGGTGAGTAAAAGTACGAAGGGTGATGTCGTGCCATTATATTCATGATATTACATGGTGAGGACGAGAGTAAAAGCACGAAGAGTAATGCAGTGCCATTTTCATATCATTGTTTTATTTGATTTCCGCTTTTGGTGATTTACTTGGTTATATTGTTGCTTAATTCAGAAGATGTTTTTTCGTGATTTGTACTTGTTGTTTTCATGATATTTTTCCCTTTCGCATGTCCCCTCCCAATTAATATTCTATCATTTTTCTTGTTATTTTACTGCATTATATATACTTGAATACATAGTTTTTTTTACGTAGGTATTATAGCCTATTCACTACCTCGTCGAGGTTAGGCTCGACACTTATGGAATACATTGGGCCGGTTGTACTCCTACTACACTTCTGCATTTCTTGTGTAGATACTGGTATTGGCCCCAACAGTGCTTGAGGTGCGTCGGCTCAGATCACATTTACTTCGGAGACTTGAGGTAGATCTGCTGGCGTTCGCAGACCTTAAATTCCCCTTCCATTTCCCACTTTTACCGTTTATCTTTTTCGAACAGTTATATTTATTTCAAACTATGTTTGTAGACTTCTAGTTACTCGTATACTCGTGACTCCGGATTTCTGGGGGTAGTTAGTATCACGTGGTTTATATTCGCGTTGTGTTAGATTTGGCATTTATCTCTCGTTCAACATCATTATTTTATTTTTATCTGTTAAAATTAGTTAATTACTTATTTCACGTCGGCTTGCCTAGCAAGTGGATGTTAGGCCTCATCACGACCCCGAGTTTGGGTTTCCGGGTCGTGACATATCTCACAATGAAAATGTAGTCCATTTAACAGGAATAAAAAATTGTGTTCTGAGAGAACAAATATAGTGAATAAATCTGGATTCTGCTAATAAAAAACAGAAATAACCACACAAAAAATGGACGAAAGCCAACTTCAGAGTGCATCCCAATTGATTGAGCAGATACTGGATATGATGTCTTTCAGAATATTCTATGTTCCTATTACCCTAATATATTATATTTGCCTAATCTACCAAATCCCAAAACACAGGACTGTTTTCCATAAACCAAACAAAAAACCTTTTTATCCATAATAATGGGAAAAAATTTCATGCAATGAAAAAAAATTCAATTGCAAAGCAAGTTTCTTCAACAATTCAATAATCCTTCAACTCTAGAAAACCCATTACTAATAGGATAACAGCTCATATAAAATGCAAAATGTGAAATTGATCACAACTCACAACTGCTCAATGGCTATATGTTTTAGTTGGTCATCGATGAGTTGCATTGGAATGAGTACCCCTAATAAGATAATTAACCAGTAAATACATCACTTTGAACTCTGTTAAAACTAGCCCTTGTTGAGTACTTGCGTATAAGCTAAGTTGGCAATATCAGAACACTCAACTGACAGTTTGATCCTTTATTAGTTCGAATAGAAAAAAAACACTGTACAGACTAAAAGATGGTAGAATTAGCCAATTTTTGGATTGAGGTTTTCTATACTATACACTATTAGCAATGACATAATCTTTTTACAACATAGTCAAGAAATATACAGATACCAACAAGTTGAAACAGAAACTAACAAAGCTTGCATAATAAGGGATTAACCAGAAGGCTCACTCCATATAAACCTCAAGACTTGTAAAACACTGTGTTTAATGCCAAAGTAGGAAAAGACAACAAACAACTTACACATCAGTCAACAGGGAAAAAGAAACGAGTTAAAAAAGAGCTCCTCCTGAGATTGTACCTCCCACTTTCAGCAATCTAAGAGTATTGAAAGAAATCTTTCTAAGGTGCTGATGGAGCAGTTTCTTGGGCAGAAGAAGAAGCTGGTGTTTCTCTGCGAAGCTCCTTAACTACAGCGGCCAAAGCCTCAGGGCTGAAACCCATTTCACAGAGAGCAATCAGAACGGATAGAGTGTGACGATCAAGCCCAGTGTCAAGAATATTCGACATGTGAAATACCAGATCCAGTGAATCCCGTGCATGGCGTGCAGCGTCTGGATCCATTTGAGAAACTGAAAACCCACAATCATCAACATGAGAAGGTGATAGCTATAGAATTATGTTTCACTTTGTTCCTTGTACAACAGAACTCATTAAAGTGAACAGAATAAGAAAGGAAGGCTAATTCTCTGAAGCTGAAATATTTACCAGTATAATGAACTGGATCAGCTTTTCTTCTCTTTGTCTACATCAACTTTAAAGAATGAGATGATCCTGAGTTCAAAATCTTCGGAACGCGAGGACATATGGTTGCACGGCCAATGAATTTGGGATAATAACAGTTGATCTGACAGGAAGGATTACAAAATATAGTCTATTCTCTTATAATAATCTTGGCAGAAATAGAAATTAATATTCGAAAGAACATTACTTATCAAGTTCTCTAACATACGAAACTGATCTAAGGGATATTATTAGATTTCAGATGGTCAGAACTTGAACTCTGTGGCTGCAATATATACAGAAATTTGGTATATTGTGTAACATGGCCATTAATTTGGCTTTTTCAAGTGGGGGCAAATTTTCATGATATAATATCCACTATAACACACTTTGTGGACCAAGTTTTCATGATATTTGCCATGATATAATATCCATTATAACACCATTTGTGGACCAAGTTTTCATGACATTTGCCATGAGATAATATCCAGTATTAGGACAAGGATTTCTTGCTATAAATAGAGGAGCTTCTCCTCATTTGAGAACACACCAATTCAAGAGCTTTTCACTCTTATCTTTCTTTCTCCTCCTTTATTATAGAGTATTTTTGTAAGAGAGTAAGTGTTGGGAAACACTTGTGTAAACCCTTTCTTTAGAGTGATCTTGTGAGGTTATTCTCTTGGGGTATTTGGGAATTAGAATATTTACTCTAATTTTGTACTCTCTTTTGTACTCTTGTTGGTATAGTAAAATTGTTTCTCCCCGCTTGTGGATGTAGGTCACCTTGACCAAACCACGTTAAATTTGTGTCTTCTTTATCTTCTTTAATTGCCGTTATTATCAACTTGTATTGTCTTTGTTATTGTCATTATAACGTTGTTTGGCTAAATTCCGCACTACCCGGTTTCCCGATCCTAACATATTGCATGGATTTTATGGCCGCTTCCATTTCTAGTGCTGAAAACTGATGAAGTAATGAAAAACAGTCCATATTTTATGGAATTATTCCTCTTACTGAAAGTTTGAAGGAATGGAAAGAAAGGGAAACGAAATGAAAGACAGTACATTTAGAATCACAATACAATATATTATCGTTCCTCTTCATTCCTACATTTTTCTTTCAAAAAGATAGGCATAGAGGACCTCAAAGGCAGATTAGTGCACCTTCAAAACTTCGGAGCCATTATTACATGAGAAGCAAATAAAATGCGTATTAACTTTTTATTTATACGACGGTGGAGTTTGAACCAGCTTGTGCATAATTATTTTGATCAAGCTGAGTATTGTAGCTGTGACTCGAGCCTAGCATCTCTAGGATATAACTTTTATTCCTCAACCACTCAACCATCCTCTTGGGGACAATAAAATGAATAATAACTTTTAAGAAACACAGACCAATATGAACCAATGCAGATGATATGTTTCTTTAATGACCGAGAAATCCCACAGGGCCGGTGGCAACTGGCGCACAGTTCAAAATTCGGTTCAATGGGCCCATCCCTCTATCATCTTTCACTTAAATACCATGTTTTGTCTGTAGCATGATTCAAAGTCGCGCCTAATCAACACGTCACGAGTTGTGTTCTTACCCCTAGATAGACCTGTCCATATTGTATGTAAAGATATCAATTATAAAGTTCTCCAAACATACAAACCTTAAGTCAAGGGTTGATGTCATAGACTGATATGAATATTAGGGATACTTTAGACCACTTCAACCCAAAAGCTATTAGATTTTGAGGGGGTCAAAACTTGAATTCCGTAGTAAGTAGCAAGGTTTTGGTGAATTACTTGAATTTTCTGACTTTCACTTCTAATGCTGAAAACTCACATATTAATGGTAATTATTCCATATATATAGCATAATTCTCTTTCTCCTTTAACTAGTTAAGTTAAAATACAGACATTATGGTTCATCTCCATTCCTTTCCTTTTTTCTTTCTGAAATATGGATTAGTACAGTTCACAAATAAAGAACAGTTATTACCCGAGAAGCATATAAATGCAAAACGAAAAAAGAAAACCTATTCGTAATTCGACTATTACATCAAGAATCAATTGGAATAAAGAGACGGAGATCTTACAACTTGGTTGCGCGGAACAAACGGCCCGAGGGAGAGTACGCTTAGGAGAAGAATGTTCACTGGCGGAGGAAAAAAATAAATAAAAGCCGTGCGCTATTTGAAGTTAGGGCCAAAATCAATTGATTTTTGAGTACTAATTTGGGGAAGTGCACAGTTAGCTACTAATTAGAGATGAAATTTACTGTTTAGCTATTGTTTAAAATATATTTACTCTTTAGCCGGTGCTTAATAAATTTTTATCTGCCCGGACAAAAATATCCCTGTGCTAGACATTGGTGTTGTGTAAATACTAAGGACATGGTGTCCTTAACTTCATGAATGTTGTGTAAATATTAAGGGCAAAGTGTCCTGCATTTGCACCTTCCGTTGTTAAACTTTAGGACATCATGTCCTTAACTTCATATGTGCAGTATAAATGTTAAGAACATGGCGTCCTTAACTTCATGTGTGCAGTGTAAATGTTAAGGACATAATGTCCTTAACTTATATTTGCACCTTTTGTTGCTAAACTTTAGGATCTCATGTCCTTAGCTTCATATGTGCACTGTAAATATTAAGGACATGGTGTCCTTAACTTCATGTGTGCAGTGTAAATGTTAAGGACATAGTGTCCTTAACTTTATGACTGTTGTGTAAATATTAAGGACATAGTGTCCTTAACTTCATGAATGTTGTGTAAATATTAAAGACAAAGTGTCCTGTATTTGCATCTTCCGTTGTTAAACTTTAGGACATCATGTCCTTAACTTCATATGTGCAGTATAAATGTTAAGGACATGGCATCCTTAACTTCATGTGTGTAGTGTAAATGTTAAGGACACTATGTCATTAATATTTACACAACACTCATGAAGAAAGGTAACAACGTCTTTTCGTATTAATTTTAATAGAGTAGTGGTTAATTTTGCTCATCATTAAAAATACTAGATAGAAACTAAATACCATGTTAAAAAGTGGATATCCCACGCCATTTCTACTACTAATTTGGTATCTCATGATTTGGTTAAAATAGCATGGGCTAGCCAGTTTTCGGACCGGTCATTCAAAAATAGCCGGCGTTTGTCAAGTCATTGAAAAATAGTCACTATTTTGCTGCAACAGAGACCGGTCCAGCATAATATACTGGAGTTCGGTGCACCTGTGTATGAACTTTCAGCATATTATGCTGGACCGGTATACTTTGCTGGCTCTAGTATAATATACTGGAGTTCCAGTATACTTTGCTGGAACTCCAATATAATATACTAGAGTTCCAGCAAAGTATGCTGGAGTTCCAGTATATTATACTGGAATTCCAGTATATTATGTTGGAGTATTTTCCGAATTTTGAACAGTGTTTTCGTTCAGATTTATCATTACATGAAAAGTGGCTAAATTTCGATAACTTTTAAAACTGTGGCTATTTTTGAACGACCACTTGTAAATCTGACTATTTTCGAATTTTTCCCAATGGTTTGTTCTCCTTCTAGCCCGACGTGAAGATAGTTGGGCCTGTGGGTTTCAGAATCATTCCATCCCGAGCCCAAAATGCTGTTTATGTTTCTCACCAAAGGAAAAAAAATGTTTCCCGCCAAAGGAAAAAATTGCTTTGCGCCGTTGCCGGAATCGAACCCAGGTGACAGGCGGGAATACTTACCACTATAGTACAATGACTTTGTTGTTTATGTTCTGCTCGCTGGAGATCAAACTTAATTTTCGTTATACAAAAATGAGTTCTCTAGACAGTTCAGCCGTGCAGCTTTCGTCAAATATAGACTAGCTTAGCAAGTTAGCAGTAAGAATAGCAGCACGAAAATTTACATTCTTAACGTATTGTATTGTTGAGTGAAATAGTTTGTCACGGCAGGTTATGATTTAGCCACGATTCAGCAAATAGATGCCAATCAACGTTTTCCGTAACAATGTCAAATACAGCACCTGGATTTTGGAGGTAAAGCCATTCAAAGTTTCATGAGTAGGCTGCAACCACTATAGTATATGGCCTATAACGTTACGCTTGCCGTTTATTCATTTCCAACCAAATGACCACAACATGGTTCACAAGAGTATACCGTACTATTTGGGAGATAATGGCGTAGAGGAGCAAGACATAAGAGTTTACGCGAATCTTACCTGTCAAATATGTTAAAATGGGATTCAAAATTTAGACGTGGTAAATTCTCAACGGAAAGAATGAATTCCATAATATATGTATCTAATTCTCTCTGTACTTGTTTTCGCACTAATACAATAATTTCAATCCTAAAACATTAAGTTCTGTAGAACTTGCAAACTCACGGTCAGATTCACCTCTGGCTGATGCACGACTAGCATGACTTCGCTGGACAAGCTATTGCTAGGCTTCTAGAAATTTAAACGATTGCATTGTAGCAGAAATGGTGGCAGTGGAGAAATGGGATACAATCATTTGCTTCGACCGTAGGCTGATCGCACGATCAGAGCATTTATAATTTTAATATTCTCTCATAAGTTATGTTTTTATTGATAAATTAATATAAAAAAGCAAACACATTAATTGTACGGAATTTTATCATGAAAACCAATCATTGTACTTATGCATAAATTACATTGGTGATGCAGAATTTTATGGTAGCAACTTAAAATTTACGGAATCTACTTCTTCCGTTCACTTTTACTTGTCTACTATATTAAAAATATATTTTTACTTTTACTTGTCCACTATACTAAATCAAGAGAAAGATAATCTTTTTTCTTCGTGTTTGTCTCTTATCATTAATTACTCATTTCCCAAATTACTTCCCAAGACTTTTGATCATAGTAAAACAGTCACGGTAGATGTGCCTATGGGAACAGTCAAGAAACTGTTGCTTTAAACCGTTGCAATAGACCTATAGCGACTCTTGATCCCGCAACGAACCCTAAACCGTGGCACTAGGTTTATTGCAACAGTTTTCCTTCCTATGGCAACAGAACTCGTGGCGTTGCCGTAGGCCTATTTTCTAGTAGTGACTCCTCCTGGCCATGCGGTGTAACCCAGTGCCTCATCTTTTCATTATGGTTGCAGATCATGTTATTGATGCCAACAAAGTAGTCAACGGCTGCCTCCCTCTGAAAGAAGTGTTTTGTAGCCCATATCTAGAGTAGCAAGTTGCATCATCTGAAGAAATCATATCCTCTTGAGCATGCCGATAGTGCCCGAAATATCTCTTCCAGTATCATAGGAACGAGGGTCAATTGCAGGTTTCCTCGAAAGGTTGCCAAAACCAGGGGAAGCAAGTTGATATTGATTCGTCCCTTCCTTGTGGGAAAACCAACAATCCCAACACTACCAGAGAAAAGGTTAAGGGGCGGAGACTCTCCCATGCCGCTTGATCGCACTGGAATTCTTCAAGATACCACTCATAACTCTCCCAGCGTCTGAATCTATCAAATAGTTTGTCCAAACTCACCTATCAATCTTCGACGTTTCTTAAATTTTTGTTGCTTGTCAGACCCAGTGCATGAAAGAATCTGTGGTCTGGCATGACAACTGGCAGTATTGGTTTTCGCCCGACGAATGGTAAATTCGTGAAGCTGGTAATCTCCTCTAGTGTTAGAATCAACTCACAATATACAGACTTGAAGACCACCTAGCTGGGTCCCAAAACTCTTCATCAGCCTAGGAAGGACTTTGTCGGCTCAGATGTTCATCAAGGCGGTTAGTGCTCCCAAGTGTGTTATGATCTAATTCCCATGCTCCCGTCAAATGTTCCTCCACCATTTCTTTTACTTGTGAGGTGCACCCATGACCATGTTAATATTGAGGATGTTGTGGTTGATTTTCATCTAGAAAAGTGAAAGGTTTGTAAGTGTATGCTCTGGATTTTTAGCGTCTCATATGGATTGGTTCGACATTCCATAAAAGGCATATCGTTGGGTGCATGACCCATTGACATTAAGGTGGCTTTTCTAATTGTGAGTCAATACCAATGACTGACTCACCTAAGGTTTATGCAGCATGACCTATGTTTGCTAAAAGTAGAGTGTTTCCTTAGTTTTGGAGTTGGACTGAATAACTGCGAGACGTTATGTCAGTTGACCTAACAAAGTCGTTCTATGAAACTATAGAGTTTTTGAAAGAAGATTCGGAGGGGTGTAAAAGATAACCCTCGCATGTCATTTGTGTATGATGGTGTACGGCCAAGACTCGATAGGAAAAATATGATGACAGTGTATAAAGCAGTAACAGATAATATTGACAAAGTAGTAATATAAGCAGGTAAGCATGTATCAGCGTGTTGAAAAGCATAAGCAAGTAGAATAAAGCGAGTAAGCACGTATTTGCAGGTTAAGAATAATTAAAGCTGAATATGACAAGCATCCTTAAAGTTCATGTTTAGCTTAAGTCCGCTAAGGTCAGAACCTAAAAAAAATCCCCAGTAGAGTCGCCATATTATTGCACCCTATTTTGCACTAGTCAAAACAAAATACAACGAATGGTTCATCTGAAGTTAATAGAAGAGAGTCGCCACCTAATATTTTAAGTTATATTAGGGTACCTATTATAAGAGAGTCGCCACCTAATATTATAACATATATTAGGGTACTTATGTATTCAGTTAGAGCTCGTGACTCTATACTACCTAATTCTGTGGAGTTATGTTGAGTATTTCCACTTTGTCCTGTATTGACTCTAATTATATATTTTAATTAACTCTGTGTCCTAATATATGATGTTCTATTTTTTAAATATTGTGAAGCAACCGGCTTACCTAGTTTTAAAGACTAGGTGTCACCACGACCCATATGATGGAATTTAGGTTGTAGCAAGTTGGTAGCAGAGCTATAGATTCATAGGTCTCACGAGTCACGAGCAAGTTTTGTAGAGTCTTGTAGATTGGTATGGAGATGTCTGTACATATCTTCGATAGGCTACCAATCTTTTAGGAAACATCATCTTCTTTCATTCTTTATCGTGATGCTTTTTTATTTCGAAGTTTAAACCTTTACTCTTCTATTCTCTCACAGATGGTGAGGACACGCCCTACCGGATCAGCTAAGCAGAAGAGTCGCGAGAGGCCGAGGTTGAGGTAGAGGCCGAGAATGGGCACGTGCTACATCTAGATCACTTGCCAGAGCAGCAGCTGTGGAGTCTCCAGCAACTATAGTTGAGGACAAGGGTCCCGAGCATGTTGAGTGTGCACCTGAGCAGCCTATTGCTACGCCAGGGCTCTAGGAGAACTTGGCACATTTCATGAGTATGTCGAGAGTTTGGCCTAGGCAGGGTTGATTCCTGTTGTACCAGCTACTTCACAGGGTGGAGAAGGAACTCATTCTCCCGCCGCCAGTACACTAGAGCAGCCAGCTCATGCTTATAAGACATCGGAAATTATGTGCCAATAGTCGCAGTTCAGCCCGAGGTAGGGCTAATTGTGTCGGCAGAGGGGTAGAGGAGTTTGGAGAGGTTTCAAAAGTTCCTTCCTCCCAAGTTCAGTAGAGGGTCTTTTGAGGATGCACAGGGTTCCTTGGATCAATGTCACCACATTCTGCATACTATGGGTTTGGTGGAGTCGAGCGGGGTCGACCTTACTACCTTTCAGTTGACGGTGTTGCACCCTATTTTGCACTAGTCAAAATAAAATACAACTAATGGTTCATCTGAAGTTGGTAGAAGAGAGCCACCTCCTAATATTTTAAGGTATATTAGGGTACCTATGGGTGAATAAGATCATTATCTTAATGGTCTACTAGCCAGTGAGTTTTGGGTAAGGGCTCTAGTTATTATAAGGGGAAGGTATTAGGCACCCCTCAAAATATACCTGAGGTAGCTCCTTAAGCTTAGGCTAGGTTCGAGGAAAGAAATGTCTATATTCTGCTTAGTCATGTTAATATCGTAAGTTTATCTAAAGATCTACTACTTGATAAAAGGTCATGTATGTACTTTGAAAAGAAGTTAGTTTTTGGCTTTAATATTCTTGAAAAGAAACCGCCCTTTAAAATATGCATGTATATTTACTAAGTTGAAAAACTAGATATGCTTTATTTTCGAAAAACTGTTTGTAAGATATCTTTTGTTTGAAAAAATTGTGTGTTCTTGGGAAAATGTAACTTTAGTAAATAAAAGACTATTTGAAATTATGCCTTAATTTGGAATGGTTATACTTTTATTTGAAAATTAAGTTCAAACAGAACCTCATACTTTGAAATTCGTTGAGGTCCATCAATTCATAAGCACCGATTGTGTTTGGTTTTATTTTTTTAAAAACGGGTTCGCAATTGTTTTCGCAGTTCTGATTTCCAAAGAGAGTTCGTTTTGCTTTAGAATCTGTCAAAGTCCAAACTTGTTGGAAATTGTTAGTGATAACAAGATAAATTCTTTCATTTGTTAAGAAAATATGAATTTGAATTTAATAAGTGACCAAATATGAAAGGAGTTTAAAGAGAAGAATCTCTGATCTTTTATTCTTTTACCTATGAGCTTTGGTTTGCCTATCTTCCTACTCCATCAAAGTAATAAAGTTATCCACTAATGAAGTTAGTCATTCAAGGATACACATATGCGAAATAACAACAGAAACAAATAAAGTTGGGAATATATAAGGGAGAGGGTTGGACTCTTGACAATTGAGCTTGGTAAGCTCGACCAGGCCCCGCAGGATTCAGCAGACATCCTTCATGCGGACAAACGAGCAGACTGGATTGGAAATTGGGCCTGAGTTCCCAATGAAACTCAATAGGCCCAATTCGAAAACATGCACAGAAATTTAAACAAAAAATATCATTAGAGTATATCAAACATAAAAATGAAATAAGACTGAAATTATGACAAAATACGAATAACAAGCTAAAGAATGTGGTGAGACAAATTTTATTTATGTTAATCCTATGAGAATTAATAGGAGCTAAAGATTAAAGGCTTGGAGTGAATCCTTATTTATGGATAAAATTCCCTTGTGAACCTCTGACACTTCAGAGTTCACGAGGGTGTCACGGACCCCGAGCAATGCTTGTGTCAGGGAAGGGTGCCTTATCCATAACCAGGTTTCACATCCAAATACCATCAACCACATACATCTAATCTACCTCAAAGGTTTAAACATAAATAAATGATCAACATAATAATTTTATACTGCTAAGATACAAACAGTAGGTACAAGAGTCATGGTCAACTCTTTAAAAGTTCAAACACACAAAAACTCAACCACTATGAACAAATAGGATACTATAATACATCATCAAAGCACAATATCAGTCAAGGGCACAATACTGACTTAAGAGGGTTAGAGTAAAGGATATATAGGTAGGCATGAGATCACTGTGGAGACATAGTCAAACAGGGAAATAAAGTTCAAGCAGCAAACATGTTTCATTTCTCATAGATTTTAGACTTGGAAGTATCACACAGAGGTAAGCATTGTTCTGTTGGCTTCACTGTAGATCAGCTAATTCAGAGTTTTACCAAGCAATTTCAGATTATAAGAACAGGTCTCAAATACTTCTAAGGCAAGGCAAGCATACATCTCACTAAGACCTCATCACCTTAAAAATTAAGCTATCAAATCGTAGAATACTAACACCCAGATATGCAAACAGGTTCATTTGATACATGAGTTAGTGTACAAGTCATTACAACACCATGGCTTAGCTTAACAGTTAAAGTTATTTAAACTGGGACAGATCATTAGGGTATGTCTCTTATAAAGGATCACTCACTGAACTCAAACCATTTTATCATCACAGACAGATCAGGACTATTACAAGTGAACACATAGATGCAAGGATAAACCACTCCAAGCTACTATGATAAGATGCTCTATGAGTGCAGCAGTACAGCTACAACATGTGTGAACTCAGGTGTAGAAGCTAAGGAGAGTCATTTGATTAACATAGTAGCAGAGAATTTCATGTAGTTTTCAATCACAGGGCTCAAACAAGCATGAGATGGCAAATGTAAACACTCACTATAGAAATTTATATTAGTCAAGTGTCGCGACCCAAACTAACCCCTATCGTGATGACGCCTATCGTGGAACTAGGCAAGCCGACTCATTTCCAAAACAAACCTATATTTTCATTTCAAAGATAATTTCAATGTTATTTAACATAAAAACTTTCGTAAAGGAGTTACAATCAAAATAAAAGTGCGAAAAGAAAAGCCCGACATCGGGGTGTCACTAGTCATGAGCATCTACTACAATCTATCTAACAATATCAAGGCTAACTCAGCCTGAAAAAATAGCTAAATACAACTAGAGGAAGATAAGAGGGAGAAGAGCAGGGGCTGTGGTCCCCAAACTGCTACCTTGCTATCCCCAAGAAAATCTGCAACCAAAATAATCAACAACCGCTACCGTGTCCAGTTACACCTGGATTTGCACACAAGGTGCAGGGAGTAGTGTGAGTACGCCAACTCAGTAAGTAACAACAATAAATAAATAATGAGCAATAGTGATGAGCAATAAAGCATATAACGTTCATATCAGGAAATTTTAGTAAAATACCACATGCTTTTAAAATTGGGATTTGAATCAAAATATCTCGTTTAAACCCAATTCTAGTAAAAATTATTTAAAGATATTTTTCAACAGTTTTCAAACATAGGAAAAATGCAAAGGTGAGCAAAAATGATGAAATTATAAACAGCCCCTTGGGCAAACCTCACCATCACTCTTGCCACTCGGGCGTACCTCACAATCACTCTTGCCACTCGGGCATACCTTACAATCACTCATGCCTCCCAGTCACTCAGCACTCGGCACTCGCACTCAATAGGTACCTGCGCTCACTGGGGGTGTGTACAGACTCCGAAGGGGCTCCTTCAGCCCAAGTGCTATATCAAGCCAAATCATGGCATAAATCACTCAGGCCCTCGGCCTATATCAAACATGCTGCGGCGTACAGCCCGATCCCATAAATATGCAACATGCTGCGGCGTGCAGCCCGATCCCATAAATATGCAACATGATGTGGCGTGCAGCCCGATCCCATAAATGTCCTCACAAATCAGGCCCTCGGCCCCACTCAGTCATAAACCTCTCAAGCCACTCGGGCGTTTCTATAAAACAGGGCATTCGGCCAAAAATAACATTTATATATATCAAAATAGAGTCATAAAACTGAGTTATGTAGTAAACAAGTATAACCATGACTGAGTATAGATTTTCAATCGAAAACAATGAGAGGATAGTAAGAAAAGGCCCCTAAGGGTCCAAACAACACTGGCACAAGGCCCAACTTACAGAAACTCTTTCTAAAACATATAAGTATCGAATAGATTCAACAAAGTATGCAACTTTACAGTTGCTACGGGACGGACCAAGTCACAATCCCCAATAGTGCACGCCCACACGCCCGTCACCTAGCATGTGCGTAACTAAAAATAGTAGAATGATACAAAATCCGAGGTTTCGTACCCTCAGGACTAGATTTACAATCGTTACTTACCTCAAACTGGTTAAATCTCTACCCCGCCATGCTCTTGGCTCTGGACTCGGCCTCCAAATGCTCCGAATCTATTCACAATCAGTACAATACTATCAATACACGCTAATGGAATGAATTCCACAAGAAAAGCTACAAAATTAGACCAAAACCCGAAATTGGCTCAAACCCGCCCCTCGGGCCCACGTCTCAAAATCTGACAAAATTCACAAAACTAGAAAGCACATTCACTCACGAATCTAACCATACCAAAATCATCAAAATCCGACATCGTTTGGTCCTTCAAATCCTTAAATTACTCTCCAAAAATTTCAATCCCTAATCCCTCATTTTCACTAATTACATGATTAAACAACGGGAATCACCATATATACGAGTATTAGGGCTCAAGCAACTTACCTCACTGATAGCCCTTGAATCACCCTTCAAACATCACTCCAAAAGCTCCACAAACCGACTTGAAAATGGTGGAAATGAACCAAATTCGCGTAGTGTTCTATTTATGGTTTCTGCCCAGGTTTTTGCACCTGCGGGCTCTTTTTCCACACCTGCGGTCAGGGTGCTGCATCCACGAACTCCACTTAATTCCCCATCTTCCGCACCTATGCTCTAGGCCTCGCACATGCGAGCTCGCAGGTGCGGCCAAATCCTTCGCGCATGCGCTCCAGCCTTGGCCTCACATTTTTCCGCATATGCGCAGCAAATTATCGCGCCTGCGCAAGCGCACCTGCGCGCTCATACTCCGCTTCTGCGAAGCCTGCCTAGCATCCCCCTTTCTGCATCTGCGCCCCAGGTTTCGCACCTGCGGGATCGTAGATGCGACCTCCAACTCGCACCTGTGCAACCTGCCTAGCCCGGCATTGCCCGCACCTACGAATTCCCCACGCACACCAGCGGCCTTGCACCTGCGAATCTTTCTTCCGTAGGTACGAAAATAGCAGTAGCAGCAGCTTCAACTGCATTTTCCAACTTCGACAAATCCGTTAACCACCCGAAATCACCCCGAGGCCCTCGGGACCTCAACCAAAAATACCAACAAGTCATATATCAACATACAAACTTAGTTGAACCTTCAAATCACTCAAAACAACATCAAATCATCAAATTACCCTCGGATTCAAGTGTAAGAACTTCTAAATTTTCAAATTCGGCAACTAATTCCGAAACCAACCAAACCACGTCCGAATGACCTCAAATTTCGCACACACATCACAAATAACACTACGAACCTACTCCAACTTCTGGAATTCCATTCCGACCCCGATATCAAATTTTCCACTGCCGACCAAAATTGCCAAATTTCCAAATTTTACCAATTCAAGCCTAATTCTACCACGGACTTCCAAATCACATTCCAGACGCACTCCTAAGTCCAAAATCGCCTAACGGAGCTAACAGAACCATCATAATTCAAATCCGAGATCGTTTACACATAGGTCAACATCATGTTGACTTTTCCAACTTAAGGTTCTAAATTAGAGACTAAGTGTCTCATTCCACTCCGAAACCACTCCGGGCCCGAATCAACTAACCCAGTATATCATAATATAGCTTAAGAGCATAAAGGAAACAGAAATGGGGGAAATGAGGCTATAACTCCCGAAACGACCGGCCGGGTCGTTACATCAAGTTATATTCAAAACTGACTCTAGGTTCCCTAATACATTAATGAAATTCATCACATGGTTTCAAGTTATTTCAGAGAACATGTAGAGATTATTGTATTGCAATGACATGAACATGCTATTAATTAGAGTCAAAACAAATTTTCATGAGGGCAGGAACTGAATCAGGATAGCAAAACATCATAGGAATCAATATGGTGCAATGTGACAAGTATTGATAGTATTTCAGAGAAGTTTAGAAGACTGATTCTATTCCAACCTTTTGGCTAATAGAAAAGATTACAAACAACATTATCAGCATATGATCTAGATCAATTAATCATGAAGCTCAGTAGGATCTTAAGGGTAACAACAGTATAGATACATGGATTACTGAGAGTATAGAACAAACAAGATATCATCAACAATCTTATTAGCTAAAGTTATTAAAGTAGATAGTTCAACATAATATGAACGGTTGGGAATTCCATTTATAATATCAAAATAATGACATAAGTAGAAGGGTCAAGTAATCTAGAGGTACATAATCACAAAGAAGGTTCAAGAGCATGATTTCAATTAGCTCAGTTGACCTAGTACTATTGTTCAACTAACATTGGTAAATTACACAAAATCAACACTAAAATTTACTTAACTAAATCACAGAGGTTTAGTGATATTTATCATCAGAATATTACTTAGTCCGGAGTTATTTTTACTAATTGAATCATGAAAGATAAAGTTCAATTACACAAATTTGATAACAGTGTCAATATAATATATTTTAATCAAAAAATCCCTATGTTAACAATGAAAATATCATGTAAAGGCTGGTCATGACAAACACAATTTCTTATCATCAATAGCTAACATAAATGATAGAAAATCAACTAGGAAATCATCATGAATACATAACCATACTACAAACTCAAAGTAAGAAAGGGGATTAGTGTGTACTGGTCTTCTGTAGGGTAGCGAACCATGTAAGGGAGTGTTTGACAGCCTTTTAGGAATCCAAACTCAACATAAGTATAGGAGATGAACTCAAACTGGAGAAGAGAAAGAAAACAGAAAAATTAGCGAACACTTAGTGAGGAAAACATAAATTTTAACTCTTTTCTTTCTTTCTTTCTTTCTTTCTTTGTGTTTCAGATAGTATTTAATGTGTCGTTTGTCAAGGCATTGAATGCCCCTTTTAACACGGATTTACCTAGGTACGAGGAGATGGCCGTTGAAGCCGTTGGATTGCTGGTCAAAATCTAATATATGGAGGTCACTGTGTTTGACCTCTGAACATCGAATAATGATGAAGAATCTACAGATTATGTTCATTCATGCACTGATTTGACAGAACAGAGCAAGGATTGATAGTATACCCATTTGTGCATTTTAGGTTTACGAATTTGAGATTCGAAATTCGAATTAAATCGAAGAAAAAGGAATGGAAGCCGATGTGATTTGCAGCTATCAGGGACAAGATAGATGTTTCAGGGTTCGATTGGGATGAACTTGCACAAATTTGTGCAAGGTTTTCGGATTGATGGGGTTGATGGGGATGAAAAAAATGAGAGAGAATGGGGAAAGAAGGGCGGCCGGGTGAGATGCAAATGAGTAGGGTTAGGGGTGTTTGGAAGGTTTAAAATACGAGACGGAATTTGGGACATTGGATCTTTGGATCAACTACCCAGATATTTTAGGGAGATGAGTATTAATAAAAAGTTTTGTTATGAAAAACGATGGCCGTTGGATCCCTGTAATTCGACGGTGGAAATGAGGTTTAGGTGAGAATTAAAAGAAAAGAGAAAACTAAAATTAATTACGGACCGTTGACGAGTTGGATCAACGGTCCAGATGTGTTGTATTTCTTTTGTGAGTGTAGGAGAGGGGCGGCGTTGCACGATACCATCGGTTCAGAGGAAGTGGCATGGATTGCCAACATGGAGTAGGAAGGGTGGGTCTGGACAGGGTCAAGGTGTTTGGGCTCGTGCATTTGAGCCAAAACAACTGAAATAGACTTTAACACATAGCCACATTGAGTTTAATTGATTATGTGCAATTGTAGCCTTTTGAGCTTTTAACCCTTTTAAAATCAAATTAATTACGCTTAATTAATTATAATTAAATACATTAAAATATAATCATCAAATATATAATTAATTATTAATTTCTATAATATATAATTTATTGAATTATGAAACTAGTTTTGGCTACTTAAAGTAAATAAGATAATATAATTATAAATTGAGGATTAATTTAATAAACTAATTGTAAAACATTTTTATTAAGATATAAAAGTTATTTTAATATTTCAAAATAGTTAGAATAATATAATTTATAAATTTTAATATCAAATAGCTATTAATTCAACAATATTTTTTGTTATTTTCCTATTATCTTTTAGAAAAAATAGGTCTTATTGATTAGAAAATATTTTACCACATTTGTTGCTAAGTAATAAGTATAATTAATTTAATTTTAAAAGGTAGGGTCAAAATTAGTCGTTAACAGATGGGGTTGGTATATAGATGGTGGTAAAGTTATGAGGCGGGCAAACCAGCTAGTGCAGCACCACTTACATGGTCCCAGTTCTCTGATCTTTTCTTGAAGGGGTTTATTCCAAAGACCCGTAGGGACAATTGCGTAGCGAGTTTGAATAGTTGCCCAAGAGTATGAGTGTGTTTGAGTATGCTATGAGGTTTACAGAGTTATCTTGTCATGCACCTTCCTTGGTTTCCACTAATAGAGAGAGACTCCATAGGTTTATTGAGGGACTCGTCTATAGCCTAAAGTTTTGGATGGCATGGGAGTTGGAGACTAAGATTGCATTCCATCAGGTCCTAGAGATTGTTAGGAGGTTGGAGCGTATTTGCGAGTAGGAGAGGGGGAATAGGGAGGTTAAGAAGCCTCTAGGTTCTGGAGGATTTAGTGGTTCCCAATATTTGGCTCTGACCCGTCCTGGTAGAGTCTTTGTCTTCAAACCACACTTTAGGTTACCCGTATTGCTCTAGCTAGCCAGGGACCCCAAGGTACCTATACCAGAGATTCAACTTTCAGTGCACCTTCTACACGGGATTCCTACAATAGTTATTCTAGTCGTCCGGTGCAAACTCAATACCAGCATCCATGCCCGCAGAAGAGTTATTTTGAGTGTGGTAATATTAGGCACCTTATTAGAGATTGTCCCAGACTTTGGAGGGGTGGACCTCAAAGGGTACTCAAGTTATGGCTTCCACTCCAGTTGCTACTCCACTGGCACAACCAGCTAGAGGTGGAGGGCAGGTGGGTAGAGGACGTCCTAGAGAGGAAAGCCATGCTTGTTGTTATGCTTTCCCTGGTAGGGTCGAGGAGATTGCATCAGATGCATTCATTACAAGTATTATTCCGATGTGTCATAGAGATGCATCCATTTTATTTGATTCGGGTTCTACTTATTAGTATGTGTCATCCTATTTTGCTTTATATTTGGATATATCTTGTGATTATATGGATACTCTTGTTTATGTGTCTACACCCGTTGGAAATTCTATTGTGGTGGACCGTATCTATCGTTCTTGTTTGGTCACTATTGGATTAATCTTCTATTGCTTAATATGGTGGATTTTAATGTGATTCTGGGTATGGATTGGTTATCACCGTATCATGCTATTCTTGTTTGTCACGCTAAGGCTATGTTGTTGGCTATACCGGAGTTACCGATGTTGGAGTGGAGAGATTCCTTGGGTCATGATCCTAGTAGAGTGGTGTTTTTTTCTTAAGGCTTAACGAATGTTTGAAAAAAGGCACTATGAGTTCTTAGTGATGTCCTTTGGGCTTACCAATGACCCAAAAACTTACATGCACCTGATGAAATGTGTGATTTAGCCTTATCTGGATTCCTTTGTTATTGTGTTCATTCATAAAATATTGATGTATTCCCGCAGCCAGGAGGAGCATGAACAGAATTTAAGGATCGTGATCCAGACTTTGAGTGACAAAACGATATATGCTAAGTTCTCCAAGTGCGAGTTCTATTAGACTAGGTTGAATTCTTGGGTCACGTGATGTCCTATGAGGGGATTAAGGTTGATCCAAAGAAGATTAATATAGTTCAGAGTAGGCCCAAACCTTCTATCGCTATAGAGATTTCGAGTTTCCTTGGGTTGGCTGGGAATTATCGCCCCTTCGTGAAGGGGTTTTCATCTATCGCAGCCCCATTGACTAAGTTGACTCAGAAGGGTTCCCTATTCAGATGGTATGATGAGTGTGAGGAGAGCTTTCAGAAGCTCAAGACGGCCTTGACTACAACTCTAGTTCTTGTTTTGCCTTCAACATCGGGTTCATATACAGTCTATTATGATGCTTCACGACTTGGCATTCAGTGTGTGTTGATGCATGATGGTAGGCTGATTGCCTATGCTTTGTGTTAGTTGAAGCCCCATGAGAAGAACTACCAGTGCATTAGCAGCTATTGTACACGCGCTCAAGATTTGGAGGCATTATTTTTATGGCGTGTCTTGTAAGGTGTATGCAGATCACTGGAGTTTTCAACACCTATTCAAGAATAAGGATTTGAACTTGAGGCAACAGAGGTGGTTGGAGCTATTGAAAGACTATGATATCACCATTCTTTATCATCCCGAAAAGGCCAATGTGTTGGCTTACGCCTTGAGTAAGAAGGCGAAGAGTATGGGGAGTCTTGCTTTTCTTCTAGTTGGGGAGAGACCATTAGCTTTGTACGTGCAGGCTTTGGCCAATAGGTTCGTGAGGTTGGATATTTTGGAGCCTAGCAACATTGTTGCTTGTGTTGAATCACGGGCATCCTTGTTTGAGCGCATCAAGGAACCTCAGTATGATGATCCCCACTTGCTTTTCCTTAAGGACATGATACAGCACCGTGATGCTAAGGATGTGACTATTGGTAATGATGGTGTGCTGCCGTTTTGGGTTCGGATTTTTGCTCCTAATATGGATGAGTTGCGGGAGCTGATTCTTGAGGATGCCCATAGTTTGCGGTATTCCATTCATCCGGGTGCCGGGAATATGTACCATGATTTGAAGCTGCATTATTGGTGTCGGAAGATGAAGAAAGACATTGTTAAGTATATTGCACGGTGATTGAACTGTAAGCAGGTTAAGTATGAGCATCAAATACTGGGTGGGTTGCTTCAAAGACTAGATATACCGGAGTGGAAGTGTGAGGGTATCACTATGGATTTGGTGGTAGGGTTGCCACGTACCTTGAAAAGATTTGATGTCGTATGGGTCATTGTGTACAAACTAACCAAGTCTGCACACTTCATTTTCGTCATGACTACCTAAACTTTAGAGCAGCTGGCTCGAATTTATCTTAGAGAGATTATTCTCCTGCATGATGTGCCTGTGTCTATTATCTCAGATTGAGGCACGCATTTTACATTGCATTTTCGGAGAGCCGTGTAGTGTGAGATAGGCACACATGTTTAGTTGAGTACGATATTTTTTCTCTACACATACGGGTAGTCCGACCGTACTATTCAGCTCTTGGAGGACATGTTGAGAGGCTGTGCCATTGATTTTAGGGTCCAGTGGGATCAGTTTCTACTGTTAGCAGAGTTCGCCTACAAAAATATGTACCAATCGAGTATCCGGATGGCTTTGCATGAGGCCTTATATAGGAGGTATTTTCGTTCTTCAGTTGGTTGCTATGAGCCTAGGAAGGCTAGGTTGTTGGGCACTGATCTAGTTCGTGATGCTTTGGAGAAGGTGAAATTGATTCCGGAGCGGCTTCATACAATTTAGTCTAGGAAAAAGAGTTATGATGATAGAAAGGCTTGAGATGTGGCATTCATGGTAGGTGAGAGGGTTCTACTCAGAGTTTCACCCATGAAGGATGTGATGAGCTTCAGGAGGAAGCAAAAGTTGAGCCCTCGGTATATTGGTCCTTTTGAGGTTCTAGAGAGAGTTGGTGAGGAGGCCAATAGACTTGCTTTGCCACCCTGCTTATCGTGACTCCATCCGGTGTTTCATGTTTTCAATCTCCAAAAGTATTATGAGGCCCCGTCACATGTGTTTGACTTCAGCTCATTGTAGTTAGACAAGGATTTGATTTATGATGACGATTTGGTGGCAATTGGGATAGGAAGGTTTGGAAGCTGAGATCAAATAATATTTCATCGATGAAGGTTCAATGAAGAGGTCAACCGGTCAAGGAGACGACTTGGCAGACCGAGCATGATATGCGGAACAGATACCCTCACCGTTTTTATACCTCAGGTTTGATGCTAAACTCGTTCGAGGGCGAATGTTTGTTTAAG